CAATTTTTAATTAGTTAGCAAAGTACACCACGTACACTTTTGTTGTTACCGAAAAGCTAGCTAAAGAATAGTGCACATCCACACACAATGTATACCTTTTGTTGTTATCGAAAAACCTTACAAAACGGGGTGCACATCCTTTATCTCAAATATATTGTGCTTTTATATATATAGACCCTGGTACATGAAAAATATTAGAAATATATACAAGTTCATTTTATCTCTCCTTCAAAATTTCTTTTACTACTAAAAAATATTCTTTGGAGCAGTATTTTTTAGTTCGAAGATCTTTCGCTACACTCGAACGGTCTAACGGGTTTATGTATCTTGGGAGAGGAGCGCACTATAAGATTCAAAATTACCAGTACAGTGAGAGGGTTTTCTCTCTAAGGATAACGCTCTGCGTGCTTCAACCCAAGCTACTCCAAACTTCTTATATAATAATTTTATTTACTCTTTGTGTTTAATTAGTTGTTACTGATTGTTTTGTTTTAATTTTATAATATTTATTATGTTGTTGATATTGATTTTATTGATAAATCTAAAAAAAAAATTCTTGTGTTTTATTTTAATTTATTTTCCACAGTTTATTCTAATAAGTTGGTTCATACTTGTTGACATCTTATGAGTTCATATGATAAGTTTCATTTTTGTGCCAATTTATGTATTCGTTGGGTTTACTTGGGTTAAAAGCTGATGTATACAACCTAGGAGTGATTTTCTTTGAACTTTGGTAACTAATGAAATATAAATTATTATAATTTTAATTATCAAATATTTTTAAAATTAATTTTTAATTATGGTGGTTAATTATAACCATTATGGTTAATATCTCGCTCGTTCACCCTTTTATAAATATAAATATAAACATTGAGAATTAAATGAATTGAACACAATTCTCTTTTCCTATTTTCTCTTTTCTAGATTAAAAACTTGTTAGTTCTCAATGAATTTACTAGTTCAAATTAGTCGTTTAGGACAAAGTACTGTATGCTGAAATTCAAATCGATTATGCGTTTGGTGGAGATGAACTTGGACAAATTTCCGTGAGAGGGAGAGGGAGCTGTGTGAGAGAATAGGGACCACCTTTGTGCTGCAGATTTTCTTTAAGGGAAGCCTGTCGGTGCTCAACTCATTGCAGAACAACGATGCGCCGCTGCCGTCGGCATACGGCTTCGATTGCCCCACGTGATTATGGAGGTATGCATTTTCTTTTAAAATTTACCGCATTATGTATTATATTAATTGATTTATTAAAGACTAAGTTTGTTGTGGAGTTTGTAAGAGGATTTTTTATGGTATAAACATAATTTTTGGTTTACAAGCATAATCATCAATGTGAGAGGTTGATTTTATACGAATGAAAGGCTTTATATTGAGAGATTAGCATGATGTGAGGCTTTATACTAAAACAAATTGATGAAATTAATAACAGTATAATTTTGAGAATACTACTTTCCATGAATAAATGAGAAATTATTTGTTGCATAATAGGAGATATAAATATAATGTATGTGAATATGTGAGAGTATAATTGTGTGGCATCATTTGGAGAATGATGTAGATAATTAATCTTTAAAAATCTTTTCACAGTGAAAACAACTAGTATAAATAAATATGATGAATATGATAACTTTAGTGTGCATTAATTTATATGATGATGAATATGATAAGTTTTGACTAAGGGTTAAAAAGGAAAAGGAAGTTAAGTCTTTTTTTTTTAATAAAAGGGGAAGCTTTTGATCAGTTGTCATTTTTATACATTTTGTGTACGTGTCCTTTTATGCTTTAGAGCTTAGACAATAAGAGTCAGAAAGGAAAACCTTGAGATTGTGCATCCATCTTTTTCTATTTATCAAAGTAAGGGAAAGTAAGAAACCTCGCTCTAGGTGTGCATTTATATACTAGGTAGCAGAATTGGCCTCAATCCTGACTCTATTAATTGTCTTTGTATGAAGGGTTTTTCTCCAATTTTGCGCTTTTGCTTCTATTCGTCTACTTGTACATAACTAATGACATGAATTGTTTGATTGTATGATTAAATATTGCATATTTTGGTTGATAATTTCATGATCCAAGACCCAATGGGTTCCTATGGGAAACCTTAAGGAAACTTGTGGTGGTTGTGTGAAGATACAGATGAATATGTGTAAATTGAGTGATTTAGAATGCTAATTGCATGTTTTAGAGCACTTGTACTAATTGTATGTGTTTATACGCGTAATTGAATATGGATAATTTGTAGTCGTTGAGGAGACATGAGAGAAAGATCACGTTCTCGCTTAAGGAAATGTATTTGGTTGCTCAACAAGAAGCTCTAGGGGCTTAACTCACTTAACAAGATGTTAGTTGATCAGTGAGAAGCTCCAAAGAGCTTAAGCTGCTCAACGAGAAGCTCTAGAGAGCTCAACTGGCTAAATGAGGTGCTAGTCGCTTAAAGAAAGACTCTAGGATGCTCAACTCACTCGATAAGGTAATTAACTTTTGCTTAACAATTGATAGTTGGTTGTTTTACTCTTTTAATCGATGCTACCTTTTTACTAATGACTAGCTGATGTATTTGAGAATGTACTGGGATATATGATGTGATATGAGCAATATGTGATATGTAAAGTGATATCATATGTATATTATTACATTAAGTTTTTTTAACATGCATCATTTGCATGAAATATTTTTTTGGGGTACAATATGGAATACACTATGAAGGAAGGTCCCTCGTGTAAGAGCTTGGGAACCAACCTTAGGGATAACTATTTGGAATTTCTAGTCTTACTCTCATGTGCATGGGGTGTATCTTGCATGATTTAGTTATCCTAATCAAATCCTAATAGTATATCCTTTTAGTGACAATATTGTGATGGTTTGATCCGACATGTACTCTTAGACTACTTTAAGGAGGCGTTTGGTAGTGAAGAAGTTTGGTAATACCCAGGAATCATGATTACTAGGAATTACAAATCTTGGGAATCATGATTCTTGGGAATTGCTAAAATATATTTGGTTACTCATAAAAGGTTTTGGGAATATTCATACATGATTCATGGGAATTAACGATTTTCATGTTTGGTTACAATAGGATATTCCTAGGTTTATAAATATTTTTTACAAAAATATCCTTCATCAAAACAAGCTCCTTATGACTGATGACTTAGGGCTTTTGCGTATAGTATTAACTTACATGTATGTATTATATATATATATATATATATATATATTACTTGTGACACCCTACCCACATACCATAACACATAGGTAACAAAATTTGAATAACATAATTTTTCATAATTGAAATACCAAACGTGTTTAGATAGAGAGTACCACATCAATAACTTAAACAAATAACTCAATCAGCGGAAATTACAAAGAAACGATGCTAAGGTTTCCAAAACAATTTAATAAAAAAAATTTCAATCTAATCCTATCTACGCCCTAATGTCACATGTCCTATCAGAGCAAAGCCCACCATAGAAGCCTAAGCTTAATCACCAACATCCTCAGCCTCACGTTGATAATCACCTGTATAATATTGAAAGGAAAGCAACACAAAAAGAAGGGAGTGAGAAACATCTCACTCTAGCTCACAGTGTAGGAATATACACTAGATAGCCAAACACAAAAAAGCATGTATAGCATAGATAGATTAATAATAATATCACATCTCACTCATCCAAGATATAATATCAATTTATCATATTAAAAATGCACATGTATGGACACGGACTACATATTATCATGCATGTGGCGCCAGTAACATATCACATGGCATATGGCCACTAGCAATACACGAAGAATAGTCTAGGAGTACATGTCGGGTCACACCCTCTGCGCACTCTCACTAGAAGGACATATTACTAGGGTCTCGTCGGGATAGCTAAGTCGTGCAAGATATATCCTATGCACACAGTGGGCGAGACTGAGACTTACAAACTAAACTATCCCCAAAGTTTCTACACCAGGGGGCCTTCCCTGGCGGTGTATTCCATATCGTACCCTTAAAAACATTTATGCACATGATGCATGTCAATCAAGACTCAATGCATTCTCTCATATCACATTTCCATGTCTTATTCTCATATAACATTTTTATATCTCATTGTCATATCACATTATCACATCATATTCACAATTTTCACATAGCACTTTAATCCATACAATAAACATTTAAAATAATATAATTTACTTATATAATCACCCCTTCAAACAATTTTCTCTTACAATCACCAATGCATTCCCTTAGGATTTCCTATAGGAACCCATAGAAACACCAAAGTCTACAATTATAATCCAAACACAAATACTACTCATACATACATACTAATTACAACAATTAGAACATTTAGAGAGAAATAGGGATAAAACAGATATAATTGGGAAAAACCCCTCATCATGAGCACACAACAAACATGAGATTGGGGGCCAATCTCACTACCCAATATACATTCCCACACCTAGAGCAAGGTTTCTCACTCCCCCTTACCTTGATAAGTAGGAGCTGAAACTAAAGCAGGATCTTGTTGGTCTCCTCCTCTGGGTTTTCCTTGGTCTTTAGAGAGTGTAGAAGAAAAAGAGGTCAGAAGTGAAAAATGTGCTTTTGTGAGTGCTAGAGTTTGCTATTTATAGGCATCAGGAGTAGCTAGAACGACCCGTTTCAAATCCGGAACGACCCGTTTTGAATCTGGAACGGCCCGTTCTGGATTCATTCGTCATGCATAAATTTCACATTCAGAATGGCCTGTTCCAAAACTAGAACGACCCATTTTGGGATTACATTTTACCCACAATGGCCATGTTTGGAATGACCTATTCCCAAATAGGAACGGTCCGTTCTTGGTTCGAATTTTACTCATAGAATCGTTTGTTGGAACGGGATGTTCCAATATAGTCTTTATAGGCCATTTTAGTAGTTTGGAACGACCTATTCTAGTTTGAGAACGACCCGTTCTAGACTACTAAAAATCAAAATATTATCCAAAAATAATTGAATACAGTAAAGCAAGAATGTTTCAGGCGAAATTGATGGCTGTAGTAACTATGCTAGATGATACTTATGATGCTTATGGCACTTTCCAAGAACTTGAAATATTCTCAGAAGCAATTCAAAGGTTAATGTGATGGAAAAACACTTAAAAATAACATGATCGAGTTTTAGCTAATGATCTCATAATACATTAAAGTATTTTGTCCTTTTTTCTTAATTTTAGATGGGATATTACTGCCATTGGATCTCTTCCAGAATGCATGAAAGCAGTATTTGATGCAATTATTGAGTTGTGTGAAGAAATGGAATTGGAAACAACTGAGAGTGGAAAATCAAGCTTTATGGTTCCACGTTTTAAACAAGCTGTATGACTATTTTAATTTCTTTTATTTTTTTTTATTGGAATACTTATTTACAAGATTGATTCAATTTATCTTATGGGTATATGGGTTATTTTACATGCAGGTTAGTAAATTAGTAAAAGGCTACATGATTGAAGCAAAATGGTGCCATGAAGGTCTTATTCCAACATATGAAGAGTATAAAGTTAATGGTGTCTTAACTTCTATTTTTACTCTTTTGATGTCATCATTTATTGGCCTGGGAGAATATGGAACAAAAGAAGTGTTTGATTGGATTTTTAGTGATCCAAATATCATTAATGCTGTATCACTTATTGGAAGACTCTTAAATGACACATCATCACATAAGGTACCATTTCATTTCATTTCATTCTAAGTGTTTGGCTTAGTTAAAAATGTTGGTGAGTATTAGATTTGTTATTAACTTTTTGGATTTATTTTGATCGATATAGTTTGAGCAACGACGAGATCATGTTGCCTCATCTGTTGAATGTTGCATGAAGCAATATGACATTTCATATAGAGAGGCCTATAACTTCATTCGCAAGGATGTTGAAGAATATTGGAAGGTTATTAATGAAGAGTGTCTCAGGTCAAATGATATCCCAAAATCTGTACTAGATTGTGTAGTTAATTATGCACGTATTTCTGAGGTTTGTTATGGAAACCACCAAGATAACTACACAAATGGAGGATTAAAGGATTATGTCTCTTCATTACTTTTGGATCCCGTGCGCATCGATCAACACCAATAAGAGAAGTCATTTCACATATAAGTGACATTATGCATATATCCTGTAATATCTTAGGATGTATACTACCATAATGTTGCATACTATCAAGCATAAATAAATATGAAAAAAGAGTGAATTGTTGGTATCAAAGTTGATTCATTCTACGTGAAATGTTGAATGTGGCAGTTGAGACAAATGTTATTTGTATATTGTTGTTTGCTCAATATAATAATATGTCCTGTCATTTGCTTATTTATTAATGTAATAATGTTTATCTATATTAATTTTTACTTGTTCAATTCCATCGTTATTTGTTGTTCAGTTCTTAATATTTCATTGATCCATCTCATCACAAGTCAGAAAATTGCTCACTCCAAGTTTCCATGGCAAAGCCAAAATCACTATATTGAATACTCGAACCATGTGAACACTCAATTTTATCTAAATATAATATAAAAATTAGCAGAAAAATATAAAATATTAAAAGAAAAAGATTAAAAATTGACAACAAAATCACATCAATAACTATGAACAAATTTTATGTTATTTTATTTTATTTATTATATTTAGTCTTTAATTTTATTTCTGTTAAATATTTTCCTTTTTTATATCAATTAAGCAGAACAAATTTGAGTAAGTAACATTTTCTTGTTTTATTGGGTTGTTTTAAACCCATTTTAGATTAAAATGTCCAGAAGAAAGGTGAGAGAGAAAAATACATAGATTTCCATATTCTTCAAAAAATGTATCTAAAAGAAATTGGCATTATTACCAAGTAAGTCCCTTACCCTTAATTTCTTTTTTCATATTGAAATATGCCATATTTCTAAAAATTAGAAATGAGGAATTTATTTAAAATTTTAATGTGTAATATATTTATTTCTTTTCATAGGTGGTGGAAAAAATCAAACTTGGTGAAAAAGGTCCCCTATGCTAGAGATAGGTTGGTTGAGAGCTTTGTTTGGTCGTTGGCCTTTTCCGATATTCCTGAATACAGTAAAGCAAGAATGTTTCAGGCGAAATTGATGGCTGTAGTAACTATGCTAGATGATACTTATGATGCTTATGGCACTTTCCAAGAACTTGAAATATTCTCAGAAGCAATTCAAATTATTATACTAGTAGAAAATTCGGAATGTTACATTACTCAACTCTTATTACAAATATGATGTTAAACTATTTTAAAAATTTGAAAACTTATTAAAATTGTTTAAATACAAAATTAAAAAAAATGCTATGTTATAATTAAGAAGAATAGAAAAATATTAGTTTATTTCATTCAAATAAAAAAAAATAAAAAAAAGGTGTTAACAAATAGAATTAAAATGTAGAAATAAAATAGACTTTAATAATATTATTAAAATTGATAAAGTCAAGAAATAAAGAAATACAATAAAGAGAGAGAGAGAGAGAGAGATAAAGATATAGGAGGGAGAGAGAGAAGGGAGAGGGAGTGGGGGGGAGAGAGATAGAGAACAAGAAAGAGAGGAAGAAAGAGAAATAAAAGAAGAGAAAGAGATAGACAAAGACAAAGAGAGAGGGAGAGGGAGAGAGGAAAAGAGAGGAGGAGAAAGAGAGAGAGAGAGAGAGAGAGAGAGATAGAAAGAAATATTTAATTTTAAAAAGGGATACTATAGTCTTTTTATATACATAAAACTTTTCCCTAACTTAGAAAAGTTGGATTCTCACCCCCTATGGGAATGTTTTTGTGGGAAAGTGGGATAAAAATAGTTCTCGGAAAATTATATTCTTGGAAATGTCTTTTTTTTTTAAAAAGAAAAGAAAAGAAAAGAAAAGAAATAGCTACCAAACATGGGAAACTAAGACTCCCTGTGAGACCCGGTTTTACTTTTCCTTTTCTTCCCCTAACACTCAACTCTCATTCACTCCTTCTCCTCTCATTTCTGATTCACTCTCATTGCTTGACTTCAAGGTGCTGAGTAGGTGATTTTCTTCCGGAAACGTGCCGTGCGGAGCTTCTCGTTCTTCCACTTCTTTTCTCCATTTCTTCCCCTTCCCGGGGTTCGGAATCTTTGCCCGAGGTAAGGGAAGTTAGTTTTGTTGTAGATTTTGGTTGACAATAGGTTGTTGCAAATGCTTTAACTGTTGAAGTTAGTTGTTATTTGATAATTTTGTTGAAATGCTGAAATTGGAAGTTTTGGGGTTCTTTGAGGGTTTGGCAAAATTTGGGTCTTTGATGGTTTTATGATTCCATTTGGGAAAAGTTTAAGTTTTTGAATTCTTGGTTGAAAATGTGAACTGTTGGCCGAATTGCATGTGGATTTTTTGGATATTTCGCAGGATTTGGTGAAGTTTTTCGAACTTGATGGGTTGCTGATGAGCCTCGCGCTGAGCGCGATTCTTCGCGCCGGGCACGAGACCACCTGGAGGCTCTTTTTTAACAAGCCGTCAGGCGTAAAGATGTGTGCGCCAGGCGAGTTTGAGAAGGTGAGCCTCTGGTTGGTCCACGCCGGGCGGGTCAAGGATCGCGCCAAGCGCATAGGCAATATTTTTGGATGTGGTGCTACGCTAAGCGCGACCCTAGTCGCGCTGGGCGCGAGACTCTTTGGGAGTCTCTGCCAGAAGGGCGCTGAGCGCAATTCTAATTGCTCTGGGCGTGAGATCTGAGGGAGGTCTCTGCCCTCCCCACGCTGGGCGGGGGCCTAGGTGCGCTGGGCGCGTGAAACTCCCTAGAGTCTCTGCCTGGCCAGCGCTGGGCGCAATTCTAAATTGCACCAGGCGCGTGAGGGGTCACGCCGGGCGCGAACCGTCTTGCGCTGAGCGTGTTGGCCCCTGGTGCACTCTAGTTGCAATGCACTAGGCACAACCATGAGTGCGCCGGGCGCGTGACTGAGGTTTTATTATATGCTGGTTAATGTTGTTTCATGCTGAGATGAGTTGAAAGTGGATGATTATGATGTGATGACTAGTAGATAATGTTATTGTTGAGGTTGAGTTGTATATGATGAATGTTGTTAAAAGTTTTGTAGTTGTGTTGTGAAGTCGTTGGTAGTTGTGTTATAAAGTTGTGCTGTGTTGAAAGCGGATATATTGAGTTGTATAGTTGTGTAGTATTGTATGATGGCTGAAGTTGTGGTAGGCCTTAAGGGCTGAGTTGTTGTAGGCCTTAAAGGCTGAGTTGTTTTAGGCCTTAAGGGCTGAGTTGTTGTAGGCCATAAGGGCTGAGTTATTGTAGGAGATCTCCGAGTTAATATGCGTGACGACGCACTATATGCTTTATGCGGATTTGATCGTAAAATCGACGAAATGTAGACTGATGGCGTGTTGATAGCTGAAGTTATTTTGATTACTTAAATCTTGCTTTATGTTGTTCCTTTTTATACTAGCTTACCCTTTGTCGTTTCCATGTGATTGAACTGCTATGATCGTACTATGTACGGGAGCAGAGCAGGGATAGGTGTGTGGCTTGTGAGGGGTCTGCAGCTGGCAGTTGGAGCTGATTTTTAATTGTTGTTGTGTTATTTTAGCTACTTGGTGTAGCGGTTGATGATGTATTTTGTTTTGGTTAGGTTGTTTTTAGTACACTCTAACTCTAGTCGGACTGGGACTTTGTATATATTTATATTCTAGATCCTATATTTATATACTCGTTCTTCCTGTCTAGTGTTTCCGGTGTTCAGTGGCGTGTGTCTAGTGACCAGTCGGGTCGTTACACTCCCGCTTTAGGATTTCTAGGGATGTAAAAATATTTCACATATCAAATGCCCCCTAAGTGTATTTTGCTAACGGTAATGCACAAGTATGATGTATTTTACTAACACTACATGCATGATAATATATAGGTTGTGTCCATCACATAACTCATAATTATAATGTTATTTGTTATTGTTTATCATGTTATGATTGTACTAAGTTTGATGATAATAATTATCTATGTATGCTATATGTCTTGTTATGTGCTTGTTTGTATTTGGCTATTTGGTGGCATTCCTACACCTTGAGCTATAGTAAAATGTTTTACACATCCTTGTTTTGTTTGTTGTTGTTCTTGTGATTTTTGTAGGTGATCATCACCATGGTACTAAAAATGTTGATTATGAAGCTTAGACTTTATGATGGGTTGCTCTAATAGGTCATGTGACATCGGGGCATAATTAAGACAAGTTTAAAAGTTTGCTTCATGTTACTAAATTTATGAGTTTTGGTTTAATTCATTTGTAATTTCACTATTTTTGTTAGGTTTAGTTTATGATAGAAATGTGATTCTCTTTATTTATATAGATTTTGGATTCATTTATTTCGTAAGAGGTGTTTCAATTTTATATTAATTTTATATTTATGATTCTCTCTATATTTGATACCATCACCAAATTTAACAACTTATTGTTTAACCAACAAAATTAAATATGGTTGATTATGATTATTAGTTATAAGAAAAATTAATTAATTGTATCATCTTAAATATTTCTTATGTTATTTTAATTAAAAGTAATAATTCATTTTATAATTTATGCAGAAAAGTCACCACCTAATTGTACGAAATTTTCTTCTCAAATATTCTTATATTAATTATTTTTCATTTAAAATTAAAATTTTATTTCAATAACCAATATTAATTTTTAATATACTATAAAAAATACAATTAATATTTATTATTAAAAATTACTTTTATCTACACTTATATATAATATATATTGGTGTATTGTAATTCTTAGGTTAAGACAGATAGATAAAGAGAAAAGAGAGAACTCTTATTTAGAAAGACCATGAATCCAAGGACGGAGCCAAGGGGGGACCTACGGGTGCCACGGCCCCCCCAACAATTTTAATTTTTTTTTATATTTTTTTTATATGCTTTTGATACTTTAATTTTCATTTATTATAAATTATATATTATTTATTCTCGGCCCCCCAGTATTGAAATCCTGGCTCCGTCCCTGCATGAATCAAATATATTAAAGAACTTAATTAATTTTTTTTATTAAATATAATTTTAACTATTTATTTTAAATATATGTTCAAAATTTATTTCTTTCGCATTTTCTTCTTTTATTTATGCGCAGTCATTGGTCAAAGTTATTATCAACATGGTCATTGGTCAACCGAGAGATCGATGTATTCAACTTCAAATTCAATTAGAAGTAAAACACTTATGGTCGGCCTTGACTCATTTTTTGTCACTTGGCTATGTGAAAAAAATGACATTATTATAAATATTTAAATATTATTCGTGATTCTAATTTTCAAATTTAAAAATATAAACATACAAACAGTTAAACAAATAATTACATAAAACGTAGTTA